CGAAAGACTACAAGGTCCTCGAAGCGTTCGAGATGCTGCAAAGGATGCTGAAATGGCGAAGAGAATACAAAACGGATGAGATTCTGGAGGAGGAGTTGGGGTGTGATATTAAGACTGTTGTGTTTTTGAATAGTGTGGACAAGGAAGGGCACCCTTTGTGTTATACATTTTATGGGCCCTTTAGAGATAGGGAATTGTACAATAGGACTTTTGGTTCTGAGGAGAAACGGCAAGAGTTTTTGAGGTGGAGGGTTCAGTTTATGGAAAGGGGAATTCAAAAACTTAGCTTCAAGGACGGAGGAGTGGATTCTATGGTTCACGTTACCGATTTGAAGCACTCGCCGGGGCCGGACATGAAAGAGCTTCGTTCTCTTAGCAACAAAACCCTAGTTTTGCTCCAAGAAAACTATCCAGAGCTCATCCAAAAGAATGTAAGTAGTACTTTCAAATTTGAGGTTGTGGGCTAGATTGAATATGTTACGATGTGATGATCACGCTGAAATATTTGTACAAATGTTGAAATAAGATTGGTTGATTAATTTGCAGATTGTGATAAATGCTCCACTTTGGTATTATGTGGTGCATGTGCTCAGATCAAGGCTCCTAAGTCAAAGAACCAAAAAGAAGTTTGTGTTTGCCAGGCCTTCAAATGTTACAAAAACCCTTCTCAAGTGAGATTAATATATAATATTTCACTAATTAAAGTTTGAATGCTTAATTTATGTTCTTTTATCTCACAAATTTGCTTGGGAATTTACCGAAAAGGTTTGTAGAACCAGAAGAACTCCCAGCTCAGTATGGTGGCCTCAAAAGAGAGGAAGATGATGATTTCACACCAGAGGACAAAGCATCAAGGCTCAAAGTCAAACCAAGCACAAATGCCTGCATCGAAATCCCAGTTGCTGAGGTATTACTTCAAACAACAAATATATTAAGCTTCCCATAAATTCAATTTTCTACTTTTAAATTGGAGAAATCTTTTAGTGTGACAGTTAAGCTATCATTTGATGTTACTAATTCATGTATTATAATGTAATCGAACATTAATGATGTCTCAAACCTGGGTTATAATATTGATAATAGATAGCATGAGCAAACTAGTAACGTCATGTGACATTTGTGGTGGTCATAGTGACAAAAATACTCTTTAGTTCGATGCATGATGAGGCAAGGGTTCATTAGTTTTACGTCCGGGCATGCCCTCAACCTTACTTATTCAGAGCAAATACGAAAGTATTTCACATCAGTTGGTATCCAAAAGTTTATCTCTAGCTTATGCTTGAATAATCTTGATTAACTGAGAGATTTTGGGTGTGCTTAATTGATTGACTAGGGTGGATTGACAATGGTGTGGGATCTAACAGTGGTGGGATGGGATGTGTACTACAAGGAGGAGTTTGTACCTGATGATGAAGGCTCATACAAGATTCTGCTCCAAGAAAGGAAGAGATTGGGACAAGGTGTTAGAAACTCCTTCTATATTAGTGAACCTGGCAAGATGGTGATAACAATTGAGAACTGGACATTCAAGAACAAGAGGGTTCTCTATAGGTCCAAAGCCAAACCCACTCTCCCCATGTATATCTACTTTAACAAATAGCTTTCTATTTAGATAGTTCTGCTTAATTACCATGTGTTTGGATGATGGGAAAATATTTAGAATTCAAGGAAAAGTCGGGAGTTGGACCGTAGAAAAGCTAACTCCCTCGTTTGCCAAGATGAGCGGAGAAAATGAGAAATTTCATGCGAGAAATATTTTGGAAAATTCTGTGGTTTAATTTCCCTTGGTTTTCTTTCTCTTTGTTTGGCTTTCATTTACATCGGTCTTCTCTATTTGTTGTCGTTGCCTCTTTATCTTTGTTTGTACCATACTTGACCAATCCCGAAACTACTAAGCACCAATCAACAACATACCGTCAAGGATCCATAAGACTTTCCCTCCAACCAGGAGGCCAATCACAACACGACACATGTAGGTATCAGAGGCCAGTCATAGCGCGACACGTGTCGATATCAGAGGTGAATCACAACACGACACGTGTCAATGTCAAAACAAAGCTAGAAACTCTCTTCTATAAAAGGGGATCATTCTCCCACAATAATCCCTAATGTCATTTGTACTAAACTATTCACTAGAACTCACTAAAAGAGAGCTTGAACCTATGTATTTGTGTAAACCCTTCACAATTAATGAGAACTCCCCTACTCCGTGGACGTAGCCAATCTGGGTGAACCACGTACATCTTGTGTTGTTTGCTTCCCTGTCTCTATTCATTTACATACTTATCCACACTAATGACCAGAGCAACCTAGCGAAGGTCACAAACTTGACACTTTCTGTTGTACCAAAGTTCTCGCCGATTTTGTGCATCAACAATCTTGTTTTGTTTTCATGTCATTTTTTTTAATGATGCTGTTCATCCCCCAAATTCTACATGGACCTTGCATGTAGGCCGAGAATTTATATGAACATGAATTTAGAAATTAATTACTAGTTTCTACTAGTAGATAGATGGTGTGTGAGAGATGAAAATAGCTGACTTAGAGCAGCTCTAGGCCACATGAAATTACCGGAGGGGGAGATGTCGGAGACGGGAGGAGAGGAGGAGGTGATGGGCTCAGGCGAGGCGATGGGTTCAGGTGAGGCGAAGAACCCGACTTGTCGGACCTTGGGGTCACTGACTGTGCATGGAGGTCGGCGGTGGTCTATTTGAAATTTTTTGGCAGTGTGGAATGACGGTTTTGAGGGGTGTGGAGTGAGGGTTTGAGGTACGGAGAGAAAAATTTGGGCGGTTTGGATCATTGGATTTCATCGGGGAGGGGAGGGGGAGGGGAGGGAGAAGACGGGAACAAGTAGAGAAAGGAGGGGAGAGATTAATAATAAAATAATAATTTATTTTTTTTAATTTCATTTTTAAAACCCATTGTTTGAGCAATTTATTTTACAGGGTGAAGATACACTTGAACAAATACTATTTGCTAAGTCAATAATTGTCTGCCACTTAGTACTAAGTCTAGTGATACTCCTCTTTACTTGTAAGGGAGAGATCTTAAGTTTGATTTTTGCTCAAGACGAATTTGAACCACATTATGATGAGCCTCGTGTGAGGTTTAGCCTACTCCCTCACACCTTAGTGCAGATACTATCGTTTGTTAAAAAAAAAAAAAAAAAAAAAGAGTCAATAATTGGCTATTGCCCAATTGTGTAGGCAATTATTAGCCTACGAGTTGGAACTATTCTTAAGATGAAGAAATTTTTCAATGTGCCCGAAATAGGAGCGAGACACCACATGTCATTATATAACTGGAAGAAAATTTTATTTTTAAGTGTCATTTCACTTATATTATATAAGAGAATCTCTAGGCAATATAAAAAATTTAGATAAGAAAATTGTAAATGACTGAACTGATCATTTATAAAATTTTATTTTTAAGTGTCCCTTCACTTATTTTTGCTCTAGTTGACATACGATGTACCCAATATCTTCAATTATTTCGTCTACGTCCAACTTTCACAACCTTTTAACACATATTTACTAGAAGAATGAGACAAATATACCATTGTCTCAACAACCTCGAGGTTCCAATTGGCCGAATAACAATCGGAAAGAGCCACTACAATAAGACATGATAGTTATGACTCTTTAAACCCAACAATGTCTCAGTGTCCATTTTAACGTGTTTTGATATATTGCTAACATACCTGCCTAGAAATTTCACACTTTGCTGTCACTTGAAGAATTCCTTCTTGCCATCGGGTTTGAAAGTATATTTGGCATTCTTTTTCTTGTATTTACCATGGATTAACATAGACCAGAGGTTGAATCTTATCCCCATTGTTTGCATGCCAATACGAGTCTTCATGGTGTCCTTCGATTTTTCGTCGAAGGTAGAGTCGTTCCCACCACATTATCGCAAACATTCTTCTCAATATGCATGAGGTCAGCAATGTGTCGGATTTTCAATTTTGACCACTATTCCAAATCAGAGAGTATACTATTTTTTATCCAATTTAGATTTCCATTGGTTTCAAACCTTCCCCAAATTAGAGCGTATTCAACTTGGACAATATTTCATCTCTAAATAATTCTCTTGGTCTAGGTTGATACTCTGTTTTCCAATCAAATGTTCAGGCTTGTTACGCCACTCGTGACCCCAGAGGAGCCGTTTTTGGTAAGCCAAGTAACATATCTTTCTAGCATGCTAAAAGGATGATTTGTCTTTTCTGCATGTTGGGCATGCCATATAACCTTTGGTACTCCGTCCTGACAACATACAATAAGTTGGGAAATCATTAATTATCCACAGAACTGCGACTTGCAAAGTGAACATGTCCCCATTGGACCTGTCATATGTTCGTATATCTTTTGTCTATAAATTTATCAACTCATCAATCAACGGCCGCAAATAAACATCAACAGTATCACTGAGTGATCTGTGCTTGGGTATTAAAAGACTCGTAATCATAAATTATTTATTCATGCACCTCTAGGAGTAAGTTATAAAGAAGCATGACCACCGGCCAAGTGCTGTGCTCATTCGAAAAATTTCCAAACGGATTGAAGTAGTTAGAATCAATTCATAACTTGACATTTGTTGGCTTTGCAACAATATATGGATGGATTTTATCAAATCATTTTCTTGATTTGCCATCAATTGGATGTTGCAGAACATCATCATCATCAACTTGTTCCTTCTTATGAATCTCTGTAATCTTGGCTTAAGTGAAAAATAACACCTTGTTCGGAATCTTATTCTTTTGAAATCTTGGCTTGTTGAACTTATGAAGATAATCTAACTTCTCGAATTAACCGTAAAACAATACACAATTATTTGTGCATGCATGGATCTTGTCATATCCCAACCCGAGATCTTCAAGATCTTCTTTGAGCCATAATGACTTACAAGCAATGCATTTGGTTTCGGAAGCATACTTTTAACAATCCCCATCATCATATATATCGTAGTTATGATTGGTCATATTACACTTTACTTTCATGTGCATAAACTCTAGAACGGTTGTTATTACGAAAAACCTTCAAAACCAAAGTACATTCTCGTTGAGTTTCCTTGAGCAATTTATCCTAACTCTCGGGATCTGTGGATGACTCTTTGTCTATATTGAGTGAAGCATTAAGGAAAACATCATTCAATATGTCCATCACTTGGTCACCATCAACATGGCCAGATGAAGAGGGTTCATGCCTAACTGTCTCACTGCCGAAAGATGTTGATGCTATAATGAGTGATTCTCAAAGATAAGTCTAATTGGAGTAGTTGTATACTATCATATTCATATACAAGTGATATCGAACTTCATCCAGTGTCATCCAAACATAGTTGTTACATTTCATGCAATGACACCTCATACGACTCTAAGCACTGATATGTTTGCTTGCAAATTGAATAAAGTTGTTGATCACATCCAAATATTGGTCACAACTTCTATCTTGCAACTTGATCCACTCTTTGTCCATTGTGTTTGTTTTCAGAGAATTTAGTCATCATAATAATTTGATACGCTTCATCACCACTTTATGCCTCAAGTAATAATCATATCTCATTTCAAAGTGCACTTTCTGTGTTGCAGTTTGCAATTCACATGACTATTTCTTATAGTAAAAAATTCGATAGCCTCTCCCTAGGTTTCCAAGTGCACGACGTAAATATTACAAACAAATATCTAGTATGCACTCGAAGAACATTCTGGTGATACAACTGAATTTTTCATGATGAAACTTAGCCACGTTCACCGCAAATCCTAAACACATACTAGTGCATTCCCAAACTGTCCGAACTGGACAATTTAAGAATCAGTTAAATCACAGAGTCGCATACTACGTCTACACGCGCATCCAACTGAATCTCAATCGGGTCTAAGTTTTTTTTGAATTTATTATAAGAAGTTAATCAACATAATTAATTTCGTATAAATGGTTATGAAATTTTAACAAATTTTACACCACGATTTCTAGACTAAAGCTGCACAAATTAAATTTGCGTAACACACAAACTCAAAGTTTCACATAGCACATAATTTTGAACATGCATATATATCACAATTAAACAAATTATAACTAACTAATTTATAATTAAGAGAGAATTACATACCTTTCTTTTAATTTACTTCTAATCCAATCACAAACCTACAAGAATCAAAATTAATTAATCACATTCAAATAAAAAATTATTCAACAAATAAAAATAAACTAACCTTAAATTAATTGTGAGAGGGAGAGATGAAGGAGAAGGTGTGAGTGTTAGAGAGAGAGAGAGGGGCATGGGGTTTGCAGAAGTAGCGGCGGTGGCTGGGGTAGGAGGACAAGAAAAAATGAGGAGAAAGAAGAAGGTACATACCTATTTGAGAATAAGGGTTTGCCCACGAACCATCTCGTTGGACAAGTACTAGGACCATGTCAAGCAAAGGCTTTTTTGGTGGATTTCTAACAAGTCATCGTGGACCTTTAACCAACGACGTGAAAGCGTGGGGCCGATGAAGAGGCCCATCAGATAAAGGACACCTAGCCGCCAAGCACAAGTTCGTCGTGCAAACCTTAAGGTATTTCGCACCTTTTTTTTTTTTTTTTTTTTTTTCTTGGTGCTAAAAACTTGCCAGGCGAATATAACCTTGCACGACAACTCTGTTTCGTCTCGTACAATTTTTGAATAAACCCTAAATGTTGTTTAGCTTTGCTCTATCAACTCAAAAATTTGTCCGGTAAAAGATCTTTATCCAACAAAATGTTGTTGGTCGGGCCATAGATTTTATAGAGCAACCCCAATTTTCTGGTAATTTTTTCCGCAGCAGGCCTGCCCAAATTTGATACTTAAATCTTGAAATCAAAGGATTAATAACTAATCGGAGACTTTAACGTTTAAGTCAATTTCTAAATGATGGTTTCCAAAGACAATTAACTATGTCAATAAATGTGGTCAAAATTAAGAAATTTGAGTAAAAATAAGATTTTCTTGTCAAATTTTAAGAAAGACATGACTTCTTACAAAAATCCAAACTGCATATCGCAGGTAAGCAAAAGAATAATATTAGGGAGACCAAATTTTAAACTAAATTTGTAAATCAAATGATGTATTACCAATAGGAAATAAATACGTTATTCTACACTTCAGTAATCCAATCATCAACATTCAGATCATTAATATACAAAATTTAGTTTAAAAATTTAATATTCCTAACCTTACTCTTATCCCTAATCAAAGTTAACAAAATTAACCATGCATACTGCATATTCAGACGGGGTGCAGCCTTAATGAGAGAGTTTGTTTTTTCCCTTAGGCAATTTTATTAGATCTCAATATATCCGTTCATTTTAATAACCTTCCCCTATATCAGACCAGATTCAAGCCAATAAATTTCATTTCTGATAAAGACAATAAAGCACAACCACCTTCTGCCACATATATATGGATGAATTTCACATGTTACCGTAGCTAGCACATACACCATCAGATATGAACAAATGCAAGAAAGACAAAACAAAAAACGCATCCAAGGGTTCCCATTCCCTAACATGAAAAGATATATCTGATATAAAAAAATTTGAAAAAAACCCAAAACAGTACTACTAGCTAGAAACATATCAAGAACTTGAGATCAGGGGGACACGCGAACCATGCATGCAAACAGAGCTCTGAGCTCTTCATTTTTTGTAATCTTCTCTGAAGCGAAGAGCCACCTGCCCTGCAACAAAAAAATGAGGTGTAGGCAATTCAAAGCAACTTAGCCATGCAAAGAGAAAAATGTCGAATGATGCCTTACACACATATGCATACGTGTCCCTCCTCCTCCTCCTCCTCACCCTATAAATACCAACGCCTTCTACTCGCCACTTCCACCATCTCAAACTCAAAGCAACATATCAACTATCAACTTAGTAGCTTTCACTGATCACTCCCTTTGCTTTCTTTACCATGACGAAGTCTTTGGTGTTTTCTCTTTGCTTGCTTCTTGTTTTCAATGGCTGCTTAGCAGCACGACAGCAGTCCCAGCAGCAGGGCAAACAGAATGAGTGTCAGCTCAACCAGCTCCAAGCTCGGGAACCTAGCAACAACATTAGGGCGGAAGCCGGGCATATCGAGACATGGAACCACAACGACGATGACTTCCAGTGCGCTGGTGTCGCCGCTGAGAGAATCACCATCGAGCGCAACGGCCTTCACTTGCCTGCCTACTCCAACGCCCCTCAACTCATCTACGTCGTCCAAGGCAATGTCTAATTATATTAGTCAACATGTTAATTAATTACTAAACTCTGTAATTACCTGAAATATTTACTTTGTCCGATATGTAAATATACCGTTGTATTAAAGAAATATTAAAACATTTAATGTATGATTGTTCATGCAGGTAGTGGTGTTCTAGGAGTCGCTTTCCCTGGGTGCCCTGAGACATTCGAGGAGTATAAGGACCAATCTCAGCAGCAATTCCAGAGAGGCGGCCAAGAGCAGCGTGAACAACAGGAACAACAAGAAGAGCAGCAGAGACGTCGGCAAGAGCAACAGGGACAACAAGGACAGCGAGGCCAGCAGGAACAGGAGCAATCGCGCCACCAGCAAGGCCAACAAGGGCGGCAACAAGAAGGCCAGCAAGGCCAACAAGGGCGGCAACAACAAGGCCAGCAAGGCCAGCAAGGTCAGCAAGAGCAGCAAGACCGCCACCAGAAGGTCCGCCGCATCAGGGCTGGTGATGTCATTGTCATCCCCGCCGGGGTCGCCTTCTGGACCTACAATGACGGCGACCAGGAGCTTGTTAAAGTCAGCCTCCTCGATGTCAGCAACGACCACAACCAGCTAGACCAAAACCCTAGGGTACTATTAACGTGCTTAATTACCTAATGAATTGATTGTTTTTTTAGGAACTGTTATTAGCACTTCAAAAATCTTATAAAAAGTTTGGAGTGCTAATAACAATTCCTATTTTTTTTTTTTTTGTCAAACGATATATTTGTTAGATTAGGAAGTTAACCGGTTTGAACTCAAGTCATGATGCAAAGGCAACATTCCTCTCCATCACTGTAGTAGAGGGCTACGGAGGGCCACTAGCTAATGAATTAATTATTATTTAACAAATTCCAGCTTAACCAAAACCCTTGGTTATTATTTACGTCCTAACTTAATTAAATAAACATAAAAATGGAGGTTGTATCTCGCATACAATTCATTCGTGTCTAATTTTTGTTATGAAGTGCAAATGCATGATCGACCTCATTTATTGTTAATTTAATTAGTTAACTAACTTGTTTTTTATTTCAAAAATTGTAGAAATTCTATCTCGCTGGTAACCCAGAGAATGAGTTTGAGCAACAAGGCCAGAGCCAACACCGCCAACCACGCCAATTCGGGCAGGGCGGCCAGAGAGAGCAGCAACAATTTGGGCAGCAGGGACAACAAGGACGACGACAACAACAACAACAACAACAAGGACGCCAACAACAACAGGGCCGCGGCCAGCAGCAACAAGGAAGCAGCAACAACGTCTTCTCCGGTATGAATACTCAACTCCTCGCCCAGGCACTCAATATCGACGAAGAGACCGCCAGGAGCCTCCAGGGATCAGAGAACGACAACAGGAACCAGATCATCCAAGTCAGAGGCCAGCTCGACTTCCTCCAGCCACCTAGAGGCCGACAGCAGCGCGAGCACGAGGAGAGGGAGCAGCGCCAGGTTGAGCAGGAGAGGAGGCAACAAGGCGGACAGCAGGGTTTGGTGGCGGCCAACGGCCTCGAGGAGACTTTCTGCTCCATGAGGTTGATTGAGCACATTGGCAACCCTCAGCGCGCCGATGTCTACTCTCCTCAGGCAGGCCGTATCAGCACCCTCAACAGCCTCAACCTCCCCATCCTCAGTGCTGTCCAACTCAGTGCCGAGAGAGGCTTCTTCTACAGCGTAAGTAAAATAATTTACATGCATAGATACCTTTTATGAAGTATTAATTATTATTTTTGAACAAAAAGTATTTTTTTATTAATTTAAAAGAATATTCATATTTGAACAATTTTCTTTTAGTATAAAGTGGAAGAGTAATGCTAGGGAAACTCAATTTGGAGAGCGTTGATAGACGTGCTTATTTATATTGATGACACATTATTTAGTTTGTAAATTTAATTTTCAAAATGAGTCTTCCTAGCATTACTCGAAAATCCATTGTGGTTTCTATTATCCCTAAAGAGGTAGACTAAATTTCTACACTAAACCTTATAAACTAAATAACACGGAAGATGATGATTACATTATTACTTCAGTGTTGATTAACGTGCTTATTTTTATTAATGACACATCATTTAGTTTACATATTTAGTTTATAAATTTAATCTACTTAATATATATTACCCTTACCCAAAATCTAAATGATCAATCAGAGACAATACAAATAATTTTATTCCAATTTCAGAAATTAATATTAAGGCTTGCAGAACTCATTTTTCTTTAAAGAAATGATGCAAAACAATGTGATCACCTTGCAACACAAGCCATTTTGTTCTAATTCAGTAATTAATTAATTATATATGGACGTGACAATGATTTATGGGGATGATTTTTGTCATGCAGAACGGTATCTACACCCCACACTTTAACATAAACGCCCACTCAGTGGTCTACGTGATCAGAGGAAGCGCTAGGGTTCAGATCGTGAACGAGAACGGCAACCCGATCTTGGACGACCAAGTGCAGGAGGGACAATTGTTCATAATTCCCCAGAACCACGGAGTGATCTCGCAAGCCGGCAACGAGGGATTCGAGTACATCGCCTTCAAGACCAACGACAACGCCATGCTCAGCACTCTTGCTGGCCGGACTTCCTTACTCCGCGCACTGCCGCTGGAGGTGCTCACCAACGCCTACCAGATTGAGCGCCAGCAGGCCCAGCAGATCAAATACAACAGGGCGGAGAGCATTGCCTTGAGCTCCAGCCAGTCTTTCCAGAGGAGGGCAGTTGCGTAAATGTATGTTGGATGAATGGGAAGAATGTAGTGAGTGCGGCACGTAGTGTTTTTTTGGAGCTATGAAGTGAAGAGAGTGAAAATAAATAAATAAATAAAAGGCCTTATGGGGCTTTAAACTACAAGTAAATAAGTACTACGTGTAACCTTATGCATGTAATAATCCGATCTAATGAAATTTTCCCTTCCCTAAACATGGCTTTGGCTCGATTGTTGCAAATTAACAACCTTCAATTCATAGTGTGTGAAATGAGAATATCCATAATTCTCTTGACCAATAACTCTAATTAAGAAACAATAATAATTTTGTCCACGCAAATTACGTGTTCTTTAGGATGGGCATGAGCTTTTTCAAAAAATGTACTGTTTGTCAAAGTATTTCTTGGATATATCCCTGAAAGTGAAAATGTCCACTGATTGTACTGAGCTCTCCGACCTCAGATGACCACTGATTGTCTATGACTTCCTCTTTGACGGCCGCATATATAGGCATACGTAGGCTATCTATGGCTACAGAGCAAGAGAGTCACAGTTGTTAGAATTGTGGGCAAGAAACCTATGGCCTTATCCCTTTTTTTATACTAGTGGATATACGTACAGGCACCTAAGTCTAATCTCAATTGTGTCACTAAAACCAAGAAATGAAAAAAAAAAAAAAAAAAAAAAAAAAGTCATTGTTACAACCGGTCTGGTGTGAGAAACATTCATGTCCTTCGATGTCTAAATTAGACTTAATTAGTAGGCGTATCATAATTCAAGAGTTTAAGTTTTTCTTGGATAGGAACAGTTAGCTCTCGTGATTGAGGGTGAAATCTCCTTTGTAATAACGAACTTGAGCATATCGCAACTCGTAAGAGAGACACATGGCATTTGTTTATCGGGCATGATGTGACCTTTATTCCGTACACCAAATTCACTAGCCGCTTGAATGAAAAAGATTTTTTAGTGTAATCGATACATAAAATGATATATTATGTGTCACTATATAAGTAGTGGGATGTGTGTGTTAAAAAGTTAATAACTTGAAATATAAAATTTCCTACCACTCATACAAAAACACGTAGTGTACTACCTGTATTTTAGTCACAATAAAAAATTTCTCATTGAATGGAGAGACGTCAAAAACGATGCAATTTAGAGTCAATGATTTGTGATCACTAATTGTGTCAATCGTTAAACTTGTGACCAGCCCTAGATTGATGGTATGATTCCTCCATCAGTTGAAACTTACCTTATAATTAGGCCATGTTATGTTTAGTAAGTTTCTCGGTCATGCTTGGCCTCAGTGTGTCTGATCCGCGGGTCCAGTAGACTTCCTTCCTTGGTCCATGATCCGAAACTCACCAGTTCACCTGCATCAGTTGATGTAGGCCAGATCACACATATCTTTTCTGTGGGAATTTGAGGGACAAATCGTTAATGAGGTTCTCCCAGGCTACGTGTATATATCTCATTGCATGGTGAAAATGAATTTCCAAATTAATAATCAATCCGCGTGTTGCCAACTTTTTTTCTTTTCAAAAGAGAAACAACATATTTTATTCCATGAAGGGGAAAATAAAAGATTCTAATACAAATGAAGATGATGACACCTAACATGTTAGAAACCAATGCATCTGGTGCAGAAGAGTATTTGCAAACAAGATTTGAAACTACAACATAATAATCTCAGATGTAACAAAAAATTAAGAGAGTCAGAAGCATTCATGGAAACCAATGTATCTAGTGTTGCAAAATCATGTTGTCAATATGACTACGGAGAAGGGTTAGCATTCTCTTTGGATTCAGTGTGACTCTACTTTGGCAGTGCATTATCTTTCCAATAAATCTATCCGTTGGCGTTTATTGGTTGATTGGTCTAACTATTGCACTATTCTTCCTTCCACATGCATTCAAGTTTCTCATATTTATCATGAAGGTAATTAGGTGGCTGATTGTTTAGCGAACTTTGGTGTAGATAATGTTGGGATTCATTGGCGGGATTCTTGTCCTCCGTGAACATGCAGCTGCAACCTTTGTTCATGATCATTCACGGCTTCCGAACTTCCGGTTCTCTTGAATGATTTTAATGGCTTTCTCATGATCTAGATTTGAGTTTCATAATTTCATTGTTGGTTTGAGCCTGGATCATTCTTTATTGCTCTACCATTTTCATTTTTATTTGGTATTTGCTGAACAGGACTTTGCGGCTCCAAATCACCTTATGATCCCAAATGACAATTTTAGAGTGTCCAGCAAAATCAACCAGTTTACCTCCGGTACTCTAGTGAACCACCAAATTAACCACAAAACAACAAAACTCGCCTACAGCGAGACTATCAACTCACCTGAAGCGAGATGACTAAACTCGTCATGAGAAACAATACTTATACTGAGTTTCTGGAGTTAATACAAAACAAGACAGTTTCTGGAGTTATTACAAAACAAGACTTGAAAAAAAGAGGCAAAAACTAACAGGCAACATTACTCAACAAGATCCTCCCACTGATGATTTATATCCATGCAGACTAGATCGTTGTCGTCCAAACCAGATCCAAACTTGATCCTTCAATGCACCAATCGAGCCGAGAAATCTAGTACATGACTCGATTTGGATAGAAACAACTCATGACCCAAAAGCCTCAAATGCTTGCACAAATTAGAGAGCGGAAGAACCATTGATCCGTCCAAAAGACAGAATCAAGACAAACCAACACCAATGATAAGAGCTCACGAGATGAAAGAGATGAAAGAGATGGTGAGGGTCCGACCATGAAAGACCGCCGGACGAAGGAGATGCGGTTCCCCGCCACAGACGCGACAAAATTATCTTAATTAATTGTTGGACCACTGCAAGTGGGCCTTTATAATAGTGGTAGAAAAGTGTTGTGCCTTACATGATGACATGAGTTTAAACCCCGTCGGAGATTATCTAACATCTAACTTACTAACGTTATCACTCAACTCAAAAAAAAAAAAAAATTGTTGGACCACTTAGTATTCGTTTATTTCTATGTTGGGATATTTTTGGTAAGGTTTTATGGTAGGATAAGGATTAGGATCCTAATTTTAAGTTTCGAGATTGTATTCTTTTGCTTAAAAAATGAAGTCTTTATATATATATATATATATATATATATATATACATTTTAAATAATCAGGAAGGAGAATATATGTTATGCAAAATGCAGTCCTTTTATTATGTAGCTGACGTAGTATCAGGTAGTGCTCCTCTGTTTTTAGTCAATCATATAAGAATCGGAATTACAATTATTTTTCTTCTTTTCTCTTTAAATTTTGGACACTGATCAGAATTTACAACTCTCTTATGTCAGTAGTGGAACCCTGAAAAATCTCTCCCCGTGTTGAGCAAGACAAGAATTGTTCCTGTATTCCACAAGGAAACAAACAATTTCGTATTCCTAATAAATATTATACTTTCTAGGCGCCCCTCCCAACTCCACTCACTGTTCCGTTTCATACATTTACTCTTAATATTAGTCATTTAAAGTAAGTTTTGTTAGTCAAATTAAAGTTTTCTCTAACCCTAGTACCCGACGCACCAAAACCCAGAGAGACACAAACCAAATTAAGTACCAAAGGGTTTGGTTCTTTTCCATACATTGTTAAAGTTGAAATTGGATCTCTTTTCTTCTCTTTCCTTCGTTTATCTACCGCCCCCATGTACATACATAAAATTCTGGCCCCGCTCTTGAGTTATGTATATCAATCTTTTACTTGTCCAGAATTCCTACCTGATGAAAATGATGAATTCACTACCGTATAAATCCAAAGTTCTCAGACTTTGCATATATGGTCAAGATCAGTCGTTGATCATGAAAGCAGTTATGTATATCAATCTTTTACTTGTCCAGAATTCCTACCTGATGAAAATGATGAATTCACTACCTTATAAATCCAAAGTTCTCAGACTTTGCATATATGGTCAAGATCAGTCGTTGATCATGAAAGCTTTTGATTTTAGATAGTGCTATATTCACGCCTATTTTTACACCCTTATTAAATTTTTACCCATCTTTTTTAATTTATTCGCTTTGATGACCACTGAGAGAGATGTGTAAGATGTAAAATTGATGTGTGGATTGATTTTATGATCAAAGGATGCGTTCGTTGACTTTGTATTGTTGGAGGTTGGAACATACATATATGTATAAATTCATGTCTTGGTAATTTACTCAACGAGTAAGTCTAGTACTGCTGTATAGTTTATTAGTAATATATTTTTCTTCTTATTTATAATATATATAAAGTACTGTTTATAAATGTCTACAAGTGAGATATTTAGTTGGCTAATGCTTTTGATTTTATGATCAAAGGAGAAAGAAGAAACGAACTGGAAACCATGCACATGAAGGAAAATTTATTTAGATAAGCTAGATTATTACATGCATAAGCCTCCATGTAGCATTTATTTACTTATTACAAGCTAAGCTCACGCTCCTTTTAGCCCTAATACATACAGCCATTTATAAGGCCTGTTATTTCTCCTGGTCTTTCTACCTACCTTTATTTGTTACTAGAAAGCCCCAAAAAACAAAACATTACGTGCCGCATTAGGTAGATTTTAGGTATCTCATCACATTCATGGCATGATCGACCATGGTCGGCGTGAGGAAGAAGAGCTGGCGCTCAACACTCGGGTCTCCTGCCTGTTGTTCTTGAGATCCCTGACCTGTTGGCGGTCAATCTGGAAGGCATTGCGAAGCACATCCTCCGGTATCGCCCTCAACACGGCGGTCCTCCCTGCCATGGTGTTAATGAGGGCCAAGTCATTCGTCCTGAAGGAAATGTACTCGAATCCCTGGTTGCCTGCCTGGGTGATGACGGCGTGGTTCTGGGGAATCAAGAACACCTGTCCCTCGTTGACCTCGTCGTCCAAGATGGCGTCTCCGTTCTCGTTCACCACCTGAACCCTAGCATTGCCTCTGATCACGTATACAAGTTCGTTCGCGTTGAGGTTCCAGTATGGACTGTAGATGGCATTCTGCACAAAATTTATCCTCATTAGTAGTAGTATCCTTATATAATTTTTTCTTTCTATATACTGTTATTAGCAATTTTTTTTTTTTTTTTTTAAAACTTCATACATACAACAATTTTTATTTTTTCGAAATTCATAACCTCTTTCAAGAATATGTAGTAAATTATTTATTAAAAATCTAGTGTACCATCTTCTAACATTACTTACGTTGTAAAGGACGCCATGCTCGGCGCTGAGGCGGAGAGCGCTGAGGATGGGAAGGGTGCCGCTGTTGACGACGGAAACGCGGCCAGCCTGAGGGCTGTAGAAGTCGGCGCGAGAAGGGTCGCGGATGTTCTCCTTGAGCCTCATGCTGCAGAATGTCTCCTCCAAACTGTTGTCGCGGCCTCCTCCTCCCATCTGGCGTCTCCCTTCCTGCTCGCCCTGGCTGAATGGGCCGACGAAGTCGAGCTGGCCCTGCACCTGGACAATCTCGTTCCTGTCGTCGTTCAATCCCTGGAGCCTGTTGACGATCTCTTCGTCGACGTTCAGAGCCTGAGCGAGCATCTGAGTGTCGAAGCCGGCAAAGAGGTTTTTGCTGTTGCCCCCCTGTTGCTGCTGTCCACGCCGGCCTTGTTGGCCCCTTTCTTGCTGTCCACCCCGGCCTTGCTGCTGCTGTTGGCGGCCCTGCTGTTGCTGTTGGCGGCCCTGCTGATACCGTTGGCCTTGTTGCTGGCTGAACTCGTCTTGTGGGTTGCCAGCTAGATAAAATCTCTTTATATACAGAGAACAACAAATTACATAAAGCCGTGTTATTAACCAGTCAATAAATGGAGAGATTTTTTTAGTGAGGCAGGTACACGAGGTAATACATCACGTATTACTATACAAATTCTGAGATATGTATGCTAAAAAGTAATAACTTAAAAAATAAAAATTTCTCCGATAAATGATGAAATTCGAACTCTGTGCACGTGAAACACACAAAACACATCTCCTAGTCAATGTGGGCAACGTTTGCATGCAAGATTAAAAAAAAATCGTAATTTTTATTAATTGTACTGCTTAATATAAATTACCCTAGGCTGTTGGTCGAGCTGGTTCTGCTCGTTGCTGAAGTCAAGGAGGGAGATAGCAACGAGATCCTGGTTGCCGTTGTTGTAGCTCCAGTAAGCGACACCGGCGGGCAAGGCGATGATGTCACCCTCTCTGATGTGTCGGACCTTCTGGTGGCGGTCTTGGTTCTCCTCGCTTTGCTGTTGTTGTTGTCCCTGTCCTCCGTGTCGTCGGGAGGGCTGGAACGGCTGGAATTGTTGTTGGTGCTGGAATTGCTGGTCCTGAGAATCCTCGAACGTCTCAGGACAGCCGGGGAACGCCACACCCAACACACCCCTACCTGTAAGAGCACAAATTAAAGTATTGTGCGTAAATGTGAATCAAACAGCAGCGCTCTAACATGAATGGATCATGCATATATGGATTGACTAATTAATTAAAAAATAACAACAAGGTGTTACATAATAAATTACCTTGAACAATGTAGATGAGTTGCGGAGAGTTGAGGAAGGAAGGCAAGTGAAGGCCGTTGGGTTGGATGGTGCGTCGAACCATGGCAACGCCGGCGCATTGGAACTGCTGGTCGTTGGGGTTCCAGGATTCGGTCAGACCAGCCTCGGATTGAATCTGGTTGTCGGGCTCCCGGGACTGGAGCTGGTCGAACTGGCACTCATTCTGCTGCTGAAACTGCTGGTGGGACCCTAGAGAGCTGTTGATTATAAGAAGCAAGCAAAGAGAGAAAACAAAAAGCTTAGCCATGGGGGATAGATATATATATTACAGAAGGAGAGAGACTGCTTTGAGTTCGGATGTGGTGAAGCGGCGAGCAGGATGCGTTAGTATTTATAGGGGGAGGAGGAGGAGAGGGAGGGACACGTATGCATTTGTGTGTAAGGCATCTTTCGCCATTTTTCTCTTTGCATGGCTATGGTGGTTTGAATTGTTTACACCTCATTTTTTGTTGCAGGGTAGGTGGCTTTTGGCTTCTGAGAAGAAACAAAGTTTGTCGAAATATGTGGCAACTAGTTGGCACTATCTCCCATTGTTGTCTTGTTTTCAAGTAAATTTTTACTAACTTGAACCTGTTCTAATACAAGAGAAGGTATGAAAATTCTGACATGCACCAACATATAGATAATTAAATACTCGGTTAAGACCACGGATCAACAATAAATGATTTAACGATAAAAAATATCAGTCCATAACTCTATATTATACATCAGTGCATATATACAGTGAAAGAATAATATTTGTCTTTCATTCTTTGGAATTAGCTCATTACAACACTTATAAATAATCTATCTTAACTATAGAAATTTTATAATCGAATTATTTTTTGAGAACTGTTATTAGCACTCCAAAAATCTTATTATACACTCCTTACAAGTGTATTTTTCTTTCCTAATATATAGAAAGTTTGGAGTGTAGAATGAAGTTTTTGGAATGCTAATAACAATTCCTTTATTTTTTTTAACTTTCATTTGAATAATTCATTTTTTTTAAAGGAGATCGATAAGTCATTCAAATGCATCAAATAAATCAATGATATATGTACCAAATAACATATTACCAATAAACCGTCTATTTATTTGATACATTTTGATGACTATACAATTTTTGCTTTCAATGATTTTTTTGTAGAGATGATCATTAGATGAATATTAAAAAATTGAACAGTTTCCATTATAAAATCATTACAATATTAATATACATTATTTTCAAATAAACACTACAAAAAATATGGGCACTGCACACTATAAATTATTTGTGCCCTTTGAGGTCAAAGGGCACCAACATATGCGTCCATAGACCAATGGCAACCGTGCAGCAACTAAGTTTTTATCTGTGCCCTCTATGGGCGTCACCATTACTAAAAGGGCACAATACACTGTTTGGTGCTCAAAGACACAGGCACAAATAAAGGCCTTTTTGTGTCTATGTTCTGACAAACTTGTCAGATGACCTTCTCCATCCATGTTTGCACTATTTTTGTTATTGTGCCCAGTAGGTTCCATTTAAAAAAAAAATAGAAATGCAAAATTTTGAAATAAAACCAAAAATTTAAAATTTTCATAAAATCAAAGATGGCAAGCAATCCAATAGTAGAAATGGAATGTCTATAATGAAATTACAGAAATATTCCTCATAAAGAACATGTTTACAAGTGTTAAAGATAAAAGACCAACAAAATAATGAGATTTTCCTATCAATGTATCCATGCATTCCTACATAATTGCCACCCGTAACTGATTTTACCCTTTTTCCCAGCTCAGTGGATTATGCAATCACCTTCCTGAAATCCAAACCAAAGGAAAAATGAAAAAGGGAAAGGATCACATATTTTCAGTGATGTTTAACTACCCAAACATCCAATCAACATTGAGAATTCATAGTATCCTGAAAATCGATTTAAAATAACCAAATGTGATCAGACCTCGTAACAGCAGCATGCTTATGTTTTCAAGCGCATTCTAAGTGCTGCTTGAAATATTATATGATTAACATATTGAAATCTGGTAGCCTGTTGTTACCAATGCGTAGAAAGGGTAGCTCACCTTAAGTTTGACTCCAGACTCTAGACGTGAGCGCGCACCCACAATGGAGTGTTGAACGCTACATTCTCGCAAGAAGCAACCATGAGAAATAATTGCATCCATAATCTACAAAATTCATTTGGCCATGAGATCAAATATGTTCTCAATAATTACAAATCAAGTGATATAATATTTTTAGAGCCAGAATTTGATCCCAAGTGCAAACCAATCAACAACTATAATGCCAGTGAAGAAAAAGACCAACCTCTGCCTTCTCGATGACTGGAGATTTCTTGAACGGCAGTAAAATATGTGGGAACAAATACATATAAACCACAATTGATCAAATCACTCATCTGCATTTAGAAAATAGATAACCCTTACATAATGTGGCATGTAACAAAGTACATAAAACAAAGAATTGAGATCATGAAGCACCAACTAAATGAACAATTTTGGGACAGTAATTGCATCGTGTACATACAAAAGTCACTGGATTCTCAGTATAATGCAATAGTTCTTTGGTGGCAGGATCAACAACCAACTGCCAAAACTGGTTCAAAGATTCAGCAAAAACTTACAGATGAACCCAAAAACGAAGTATGGCATGACGAAAAAACAAGAGGAAAGAACATCAGGAATATGAGGGAGAGTTGCAACATTATTCAATAGTTCAAGCAGTCTGTCAACAAACTAACCCTTTATTACTAACATTGTACCCATCACCTTATATCCTTTATGAGCAACCGCAATGACGAACAAGAAGAAGCAATAAAAGGAATTATCTTTTCAAAATCTTATCTATAATTCCAAGCAATAATCACAAACAATTTTCATTAAATTCCAGAAATGAATTGTATAGTGGTACGACTAACAACTACTAATTGATCTTTTGACATGTCGCAACACGCCACACCGCAATCAAAATTTAGGTCCAGTGACATCAATGGCACTCTAGATTAGAATTTCATTAACCTTCAATGTTTATCGTGTTTGAACTCCAATCCAAATCAGTCATGACTATGTGTTCGATATATGCAAATGGATTTGAGCGTTTAAAAAGGATTAAAGGCAACTGCAGAAGAAGATGGGATGGTGCTTAGATAACTACACATGCTTGGAGACAGAGAGCTATTCTTCCTACTATCCAATCAACAAAATTTGAAACATCAATTTGTTGCTTTCCTAATTTTATTATGCCAATGCAAAATGCAATGCTAATTAATATGCAGTATGCTGTGTTTAAGGTTCAACAGTTCTTACCAAAGAAACATGCAAAACTCGCCAGGGCCTAGCTCGTCCCATAATCATAGCAAAGATTAAGAAATAATTGGATGAAAGTAAAACCCATAACCTCATGTATTCCACACACAAAAGTAATAGAAGAAAAAAGCACAGCAGACATGCAGCAGAGCTATAAACAATCAACGTAAACAAAATTAAGAACCAAACAGATGAGTGAATCGTTTCTGCACCTCAGAATCGCTTCAACTTCGTAAAATTTGGAGTCTGGGACATAACCCACGAGCAACCAACAATATGGAGTCAGAAGCCATGCCAAGATTTAAAATTTAAAATCCGAGACACCCAAATCATAATTTGAATGGAACATGCAATAACATTGAAAACCCATAAACCATTTTTCCAGAAAATGGGAAGAAGACAAACCATTTTTCCGAATTCGAAGGTTTCCACAACGGCGATGAAATATTGATGACGACCACGACTCCTCACTCCCTCTTCGACTCGTACCTGCCCTTCCCTCACCAACACCTCCTAACCTGACGCACCTCCCTCCCATGATCCCTCCCTATCGGACTCCGATCCCAACGCGATTTCCGATTCAGGCTCTACATCCATCGATCATCCCAAACCTGACCCACCCCCTCCCTTGATCTCTCCCTACCAGACCCCGATCTTCCCAAACCTTCCTCCATCACGTGCATGGGGTTTCTGCTAGGGGATTCTGGCGATTATGGGGCTCAAGACCCTCCACGATTTGTCTGGAGAAGGTAGAGAGAGAAACAGGGGTTGGAGAGAGAGAGAGACAAAGGTGAGAGAAAGAATCTCAGGGGAAGCAGGGCGAAAGGGGAAACTAAAGGGAAAGAGATAGAAGGGACACGAGATAGAATTAGGGTAGAATTTTAATTATTATTATAAGAGTTAGTGGGCACAATTGTGTAATGCGGTGGTGGAAACCTAAGTTTTTGAATTTAGTAGTGGGAAACCCAAACTTGCACCATAAAAGAGAGGGAGAAGTCCAATTTGGAGAAGGGAAAACTTATTATAAATCTAATTTTATAAGCTTGTCACTTCCGATTTCGACATACGTCCCGGATTGACGCGTGACGTCATCAAGTATCCGTACGTCTATCATACCTCGTCTTCGGGATATGGCAAAACATAACTCGAGCATTGATTCGCATAGTATTTTTTTTTTCTTCCTAATTCCTGATTGGTTGCTCAACCTCCAACACCCCCCCCCCCCCCCAAAATTCTGATTGGTCCTCCACCATTTAACTTATTGGTTCCTTCCCTTTGGCCTGAATGGCCTCTTTCCCACAAGGTGGGAGTTTATATTCATTTAAATCTATAGTTTAGTGAAATGACTTCAAATGTTTGTAACTATGTCGTTATAATCCGGATTCGCAAACGGTTTTCATCTGTGCGTTTGTGGTCTCGAGATCTATTTGAAAACATCAATTGTGAACTTGAAAGGTCAACGAATTTTAAAGATTGATTACGAAAATTCAAACCCGATAGTTATTCGATTTAATTCCAAAAATCAATGGAATTAAAATTAACTAATGAAAATAATGTAAACGTGAAATACGAATTTAAATAACGAGATATGTAATTAATAGTGAAATTCCGAGGATGGGATTTCACAAAGCCATTATTAGTTATAGTCCAATTTTGTTTTAATTTTGAAGCTCTATCGAAGGTTAATTGTGTTTAGCATGATAAAAGGCTTGCGTTGTTCTTTTATTATTTTTTTCTTTTTTTCTTTTGTTTTTTCTTTTCTTTTGTTTTATCTTTTTTGTATGAATCGGGAAACATAATTATAAACCAAAAAATATATAATGTTGGGAGTATCTGTATCAAGAAAATATTATTATATTGTAATACTACATAAGTTGATAAAAGGACCCAAGAGGAGTCCAGCATAGCATAAGATAGTTATATTTTCACAGTACACCAGTGAAATATAACATAATACAAAAT